TTTTTCTTTTTTTGAGACGGAGTTTCACTCCTGTCGCCCAGGCTGGAGTGCAATGGTGCAATCTCGGCTCACTGCAGCCTGTGCCTCCTGGGTTCAAGTGATTCTCCTGTCCCAGCCTCCCATGTAGCTGGGATTACAGGCACCCGCCACCATGCCTGGCTAATTTTTTTTTTTTTTTTAATTGTTTTAGTAGAGTCAGGGTTTCACCACGTTGGCCAGGCTGGTCCTGAACTCCTGACCTCAGGTAATCCACCCACCTTGGTCTCCTAAAGTGCTGGGATTATAGGTGTGACCACTGGGCCCAGCCTATGTGACTTCTTATATGGAGGAATTGTCTTAGTATAACCCAGAAGTCTTGCTGGTCTATCTGCAGTTTTTCACAGCATATTCATGTTTGGAAACAATCACAGGTGAGCTTTCTTGTAACAGTGAACTTGAACAATATCGTGAAGAGCATGAAAAACAGGCTAAGGCTGGGTGTGATGGCTCACGCCTATAATCCCAGCACTGTGGGAGGCCCAGGAGGGTGGATCACCTGAGGTCAAGAGTTGGAGGCCAGCCTGGCCAACATGGTGAAACCCCAACTCTATTAAAAACACAAGAAATTAGCTGGGTGTGGTGACACATGCCTGTAATCTCAGCTACTCGGGAGACTGAGGAATGAGAATGGCAAGAGCCTGGGAGGCAGAGATTGCAGAAGATGAGACTGCCCTACTGCACTCCAGCCTGGGCAACAGAGGAAGACTCTATTTCAAAAACAATAACAACAACAACCACAAAAACAGGCCGGGCGCGGTGGTTCACGACTGTAATCCCGGCACTTTGGGAGGCTGAGGCAGGTGGATCACTTCAGGTCAGGAGTTCGAGACCAGCCTGGCCAACATAGTAAAACCCTGTCTCTCCTAAAAATACACACAAAAAATTAGCTGGGTGTGGTGGGGCATGCCTATAATTCCAGGACTAGGGAGGCTGAGGCAGGAGAAACACTTGAACCCTGGAGGCAGAGGTTGCAGTGAGCCAAGATCACACCGCTGCACTCCAGCTTGGGCGACAGAGTGAGACTATGTCTCAGAAAAAAAAGAAAAGAAAGAAATCTGTTACAAAAGTTGAAATATGCCATATATTTGGAAATTTAAAACCATGCTTCTAAATGAATCATAGGTGAGAGATTAAACCATAAAAGAAAGGACAAATGTCTGGAAATAGACGACATTAGTAATACCACATACCAAAATATGTGAGATACAGATAAAACAGTACTTAAGTGGGAAGTCTGTAATCTTAATGTTTATTCTGGAAAAAATAAAGACTGAGTAAGCATCTAAAGAAACTTTTTAAAAGGGTAATGGAATAAATCCAAAGGTAATGACAGAAGGAGAAGAAAGGGAATGGGGGTGGAAGGAAGAAGTTAAATAAAATAGAAAATAAAAATAGAAAATAGAGGCTCCACGAAGATAAAATCTGGTATTTAGGTTCTTAGGAAATACCACTAACAATTATTTTAAAGCTGGGCACAGTGGTTCATGCCCATAATACTAATATTTTAGGAGGCTAAGGCTTAGGCCAACCTGGGCAACATGGCGAGATGCCATATCTACATATAAAAAATAATAATATAATAAAATAAATGTAAGTAATTTCTTTAAAAAAATATCCAGTATTACTGAATGCCCTAAAAATGAGGAAAAAAAAAAAAAAAAAAACATATCCAGAAAAAAAAGAAAAAAGGTATAAAAAAAAACAGTGTCAGGAGTAAATGGGGGAAATATAACATATGCAGCAAAAATTAAGGTGAGAGCCAGGCGCGATGATTCACGCCTGTTATCCCAGCACTTTGGAAGGTGGAGATGGGTGGATCACAAGGTCAGGAGTTCAAGACCAGCCTGGTCAAGATGATGAAACCCCATCTCTACTAAAAACTCAAAAATTAGCTGGGCATGGTGGGTGTGCCTGATTCCAGCTACTCAGGAGGCTGAGGCAAGAGAAACGTTTGAACCCGGGAGGCAGAGGTTGCAGTGAGCTGAGATCACGCCACTGTACTCCAGCCTGGGCAACAGAGCGAGACTTCATCTCAATTAAAAAAAAAAAAAATTAAGGTGAGAAGATACTATGATTATGGGCAACTTTTTGCCAATAAATTTGAAAATTTACGATGAAATGGATATATTGCTACAAAAAGATAATCCACTAGGATCGACCCAGAAGTAGACAATAAAAAATGGAATCAGTAGTTTCTAACTGCTTTACACAAACAAGTATCATAAAACATTTAAGGAATAGCGATCTTAATTTTACATACATTATTTCAGAAAAAAAGAGCAAACACTCCAAAACTCATAAGTAATGCAAAGTAGATTTAACAGACAAGAAAGGAAAATTATAGACGAATTTCGATGAATACAGACCATTTCAATAAAAAAATCTTAAGTAAAATATTAACAAAACAAATTCAACTATGCATAAAAACGTAATATATCATAATCTAGTTGAATTTGTTCCAGGAACACTAACTTGGCTCAATGTAAAAAAAAACTGATTAATATAATTGACTACATTCATGAATTAAAGGAAGCAGAACAAGTATTTAATGATATTCAATAATAAGTCAAGCTTTAAAAAAAGCTCTTGGCAACATAGGAAAGGGAAAATTGTTTAACCAGTAAAGGGTATATTAAAATCATTCTTAATGGGGAACCTTTTGAAGCACTGTCTTTACAATCAGGAACAAGTTGAGGAGGTCCATAATGAAGACTCAGCAGAACAGAAAGCATAACTAGCAGAGTTAAGATAAGAAAAAATAAACACAAGGCATGAAGATTGGAAAAAAAATGCAACTATCATTACTTGGTGGTGATATGACCATCTCTACAGAAAAAACAAAACAGAAATAAAATGACAGTTTAGAGATCAGTTGTTTTTTTTTTTTTGAGACAGGGTCTGGCTCTATCACCCGGGCTGAAATGCAGCAGCAGGACTGTGGCTCACTGCAAACTCTGCCTCCCAGGCCCAAGCAATCCTCTTACCGCGGCCTCTGGAGTAGCTGGGACCGCAGGCATGCGTCACCATGCCCCACTAATTTTTCTGTGTTTTTTGTAGAGACTGGGTCTCACCATGTTGCCCAAGCTGAACTCGAACTCCTAGACTCAAACAATCTGCCCACCTTGGTTGGCCTCCCAAAGTGCTGGGATTATAGGCATGAGCCAACACACCCACTAAAAATATACATATGTATGTTATTTGTTTATGTAGAGAGGGGATCATTAGCAGGGCATGGTAGGTGTCTGTAGTCCCAGCTATTCGGGAGGCTAAGGCAGGAGGATCACCTGAGCCCTGAAGGTAGAGGTTGTTGTGAGCCAAAATCGCACCACTGCACTCCAGCCTGGGCGACAGAGCGAGACTCTGTCTCAAAAATAAATAAATAAAATAAAGAATAAAAATAAACATAAACAAAATAAAAATAGAGACAGTATCTCATTATCTCTAAAATATATGCAAATATACTTTTTTTAGCACAAATACACACACACACACACACACACACACACACACACACACACACACATATATGTATGAATGATACATACACTGATTTGCCCCATTCAACCTAAAATATTGTTTTAAACTTTGGGCCAATCTAACTTATTTTAATTGAATAACATTTTAAATATTTAACTTTAGCAGCAAATTAATGTATTTTGGTAGAGTAAGTAGTTCCACTTTGAGATCAAATACAGATATTGAGAGCACTTCCCCGCCCAAGATGGGGTCTGGCTCTCTTGCCCCGTCTGGCCTTGAACTCCTGGGCTCACATAATCCTCTGGCTTCATTCTAGGGGTGTGTGCCAGGGCACCTGGCAAGAATATGTATTTTAATATATTAAATCATTTGAGAGGAAGGCATAATATACCTAGTCTTCAAGCAAGAAATTTGGTAGAATTGGGCAAATAATAGTTCACACTGTTTCCCAGCTCAACTCATCTCTAGTCTGCCCAAAGCTCAACAAATCTATGAAAACTCTGTGCTTTCACCCACATACAGCATGAGGCTGTGATGCCCAAACAGCCATGCGTAGTCATGAATGAATCCTGTTATGTAAAAGCCTAATTTATTTACACTGTATTGATGACTTTTATAAAAACAAAGTTCAGCTTTTAGGGAAAAAACACATATTGAGCCACAATGAGAAACGGCATACGCTTTAACATTTCTAACTGGCAATGCAAGTCCATTTAGAGAAAAGCTTTTGAAGAGGCCTTGAACATCCCAGCCTTCAACTACACCCTCACTATTAGCAACCAGGTGGAATCAATTAGAAGACAGGCAAGCAGCGAGGCTCTTTATGGCTCTAAAGCAGCCAAGCTCTTCCAGATGGCCCTGTCGGGTCTCCTCTAGCTCTCAAGAAGCAGACTTTCTCTTTGAAAAGCCATTAAGAGCCACTACCTTCTGGAACGTTGCTCCCAGATTCCTCATGGTCTAAGTCTCCACTTTATCACCCTGGTGACTCAACAGATAAATGCCTCAAATCCTAACACTGAAGAGGCCCCACACTCGAGCTTCTGGTCCCCACAGTGGCTGACGCAAAATGAGAAGGATTCCCTGTCAAGTGCCTTTTGTGGCTACATCAGAAACGGGAACTTGGGGACAGGCAGTGGGTGATGAACACTCATAGGGGAAATGAAAGACGCATTTGAGCTTTCTTTTTTCTTTTGTTTTGGAGACAGAATTTCGATCTTGTTGCCCAGGTTGGAGTGCAGTAGCACCATCGTGGCTCACTGCGGCCTCCACCTCCCAGGTTCAAGAGAGTCTCCTGTCTCCGCTTCCCGAGGAGTTAGGATCACAGGTGACCGCCACCAAGCCCAACTAACTTTTGTATTTTTAGTAGAGACGGGGTTTCACCATGTTGGCCAGGATGGTCTCGAACTCCTGACCTCAGGTGATTACAGGCTGGGATTACATGCATGAGCCACAGCGCCTGGCCCACACTTGAGCCTTCACCTCACCTTTTCAACATCTGCTTTTGTGACGTTGATGTCAGCGTCCATTTTCTCAAAGTACTGCTGTGCCCTGTCCGCCTCTTTGCAATCGCGTTCAAATCGCCTTTTACTCTAAAATCAGAGGAAAATAATTATTTATGAAATAACGAGTCCTATGAGAAGACGTAATTTTCTCTAAATCCCCGCAAAGAGCATTGTTCTTTTTCTTCTCTTTTTTTTTTTTTTTTTTTTTGAGTCAGGGTCTCACTCTGTCACCCAGGCTGGAGTGCAGGGAGTGGCACCATCTCGGCTCACGGCAGCCTTGACCTTCCCGGCTCAGGTGATCCTCCCACCTCAGTCTCACTCGAGCTGTGACTACAGGCATGCACCACCATACCCGGCTAATGTTTGTATTTTTTGTAGAGACTAGGTTTTGTCATATCGCCCATGCTGGTCTTGAACTTCTGAGCTCAGGCAATCCTCCCACCTCGGCCTCCCAAATTGCTGGGATTACAGGCTTGAGCCACCACGCCCGGCCTCTGAATTGATTTCTTATATGTCATAATTTCCAGAAGTTATTTTAAAATCTGCATTTATTTCCATCGAAACTGTCTAGTCTTTGTTCTTTTCATGTGACTTTCAGAAAAATACTGAACTTGAGCTCTTTTGGCTCAACTTTAGATAATGGTTCTAGAAACAAATTAAACGAGAAATCTATAAAGATGTTTCATTAGTGTTTTTGTGTGCATGTTTTTCACTTACTGATTGATTCAAGCTTAAATTAAGTTGAAATCAGAAAATCTATAAAGATATTTCTTAGGCCGGGCACAGTGGCTCCCATGTAATCCCAGCATTTTGGGAGGCTGAGGAGGGCGGATGACTTGAGCGCAGGAGTTCGAGACCAGCCTGGCCAGCATTGCAAAACCCAGTCTCTACCAAAAATGCAAAAATTAGCCGGACATGGTGGCGTGTGCCTGTAATCGCAGCTACTTGGGAGGCTGAGGCAGGAGAATCACTTGAACCCAGACAGCAGAGGCTTCCGTGAGCCGAGATCACGCCACTGCACTCCAGCCTGGGCAACAGAGCGAGACACCATCTCAAAAAAGAAAAAAAGAAAGAAAATCTATAAAGCCATTCCCTTTTGCCGTGCGTTGTTCACTTACAGATTCAAGCTGCTTCCAGCAAGTCTCGATGTGCTGCTGTGCTTTCCGGCCATCATGGAAGTTCTGCAAAGGGGAAAACACACTGGTGATTAGTACCCTCTGCTTCTCCAATGAACCCAGGAGAAAACGTTTTCATCCACTTAAACAACATTTAAATACTGAACCTCTAGGATGTATGCTCCAAAGAAATGTAAGAGTTTAAAGGGGTAGCCGGGCACAGTGGCTCACATCTGTAATCCCAGCACTCTGGGAGGCTGAGGCGGGAGAATCTCCTGAGCCAAGGAGTTCAAGACAGCCTGGGCAACACAGTGAGATGCCCTCTCTACAAAAAATAGAAAAATTAGCTGGATGTGGTGGCACAGACCTATAGTCCCAGCTACTCTGGAGGCTGAGGTGGGAAGATCACCTGAGCCCAGGGAGGCTGACACTGCCACAGGGAGCTGTGATTGCGCCACAGCACTCCAGCCTGGATGACACAGTGAAACCCTGCCTCAAAAAAAAAAAAAAAAAAAAAAAAAAGAAAGAAAAAGGGAATAAAAAGTTTAATGTGGAAATGAAAACAAGAATAGTCATCACAAATGAACAAGTTTCGCTTGGGGGGGAAAAAAAGGAGTCACAGAGTTCCCTTTACAGCTTTAGGTACAATTGTATAAGATTTGAAGATTGGCCAGGTATGGTAGTGCCCAAGCCTATAGTCCCAGTTACTTGGGAGGCTGAGGTGGGAGTATCACCCAAGCCTGGGGGGTGGAGGCTTGCAGTGAGCCGGAATCATGCCACCACACTCCAGCCTGAGTGATAGAATGAGATCCCATCTCAAAAACATAAAATAGGCTGGGCAAGGTGGCTCACGCTTGTAATTCCAGCACTTTGGGAGGCCAAGGCAGGCAGATCTGAGGTCAGGCGTTCGAGTCCAGTCTGGCTGACACAGTGAAACCCCGTCTCTACTAGAAATACAAAAATTAGCTGGGCGTGGTGGCACACGCCTGTGGTCCCAGCTACTCAGGAGTCTGAGGCAGGAGGATGCCTGAACCCGGGAGGTGGGGGTTACAGTGAGCCAAGATTGCGCCATTGCACTCCAGCTCTGGAAGACAGAGCCAGACGCTTTCTCAGAACAACAAACAAAACAAAACAAATAAAAATTTGAAGACATATATGCCACCTGGAAAAATGACAGGAATGTTTTACTAAGACAGCAATCACTTCGATCATCTTTTTAAACTGCTGAGATGTGATTCAAGTATTATGAGTTACTCATTTAAACCGAGCAATTCAATGGTTTTTAGCAGTCACAAAACCGTACAACCATCACCATAACCAATTTTAGAATATTTTCATCACTCCTAAAAGAAACTTGTACCTCCTAGCCATTACCCTCCACCTTCCGCAGCCCGAGGCGGTCTGTTTCTGTCTCTGGATTTGTTTATTCTGGATGTTTCCTATAAATGGAAATGTGGTCGGAGGCTTCTGGTGACTGGGATGTGTCCATTATCTCCTAATGTCCACTTAGCATGATTTCAGGGTCCACATTGTCACATGTATCAGTACTTCATTCCTTTTTATTGCCAAATGATTATTCCATGATGTGGCTATCCCACATTTTGTTTATCCATTCAACAACTGATAGACATTTGGGTTGTTTCCAGGTGTGGGCTATCATGAAAAATGCTGCCGGGCACAGTGGCTCACGTCTGTAATCCCAGCACTTTGGGAAGCCGAGGCGGGTGGATCACGAGGTTAGGAGTTTGAGACCAGCCTGGCCAAAATGGTGAAACCTCGTCTCTACTAAAAATACAAAAATAAGCCGGGTGTGGTGGCGAGCACCTGTAATCCCAGCTACTCCAGAGGCTGAGGCAGGAGAACTGCTTAAAACCTGGGGGGCAGAGGTTGCAGTAAGCCGAGATCATGCCGCCACACTCCAGCCTGGGTGACAGAACAACACCCCCCGCCTCGAGGAAAAAAAAAAGAAAAATGCTGCTACCAACCCTTGAGTAAGAGTTCTGTGTGTTTTGAGTGCATGGCTGTTTTCAATATTGGATTATTTTCAATCTAAAGATAAATTTCCCTCCTTGCCATCTGCAAAGGCCCTGAAGCAGGCTCTGGTGTGGTGTTATCTGGGGGCTAGATCTGGAGGAGCCTTGGGCAGAATACATCACGTGAGGTCACAGAAGAAAGAGGGAGCTGTACAGGGCCTTGTAGGCTTTTTTGTCTGAATGAACCACCGTCTATGAGTATCTCTAAGTACAGATGTTGTGAAGGGAAGATTTCAGATGGTAGGAGGCTGTTGTCACAATCCTGGAGTGACTGCAACGTGGACAGGTCATATGTAGCGAGCAATGCAGGTCATGACACGGGTCAGGTTCTGGGCGCCCTCTGATCACCCAAACCTCCAGGATTTTCTGGGAGATGGGATCAGATGTGCAATAATGAGCAGCCCAGTGTGACTCCGAAGTTGTCAGTCTGAGCTTTAGGAGTGGGAAGACTGAGAGAAGTGGGTCTGAGGAAGGAAGATCACACATGTAGTTTCAGATGTGTTAAGACTGATATTTCTTTGAGACTCCCAAGTAGAGAGACTAGCTGGATGCGGTGACTCATTCCTGTAATCCCAGCACTTTGTGATGCTGAGGTGGGCAGACCACCAAAGGTCAGGAGTTTGAGACCAGCCTGGCCAACATGGCGAAACCCCATCTCTACTAAAAATACAAAAATTAGCCAGGCGTGGTGACACAACTCTGTAATCCCAGCTACTGGGAAGGCTGAGGCAGGAGAATTGCTTGAACTGGGAGCCAGAGGTTATGGTGAGCCAAGATGTTGCCACTGCATTCCAGCCTGGGTGACAGATATTCTATCTCAAAAAAAAAAAAAAAAAAAAAAAAAAAAAGGCTGGGCGCACACACGGTGGCTCACACCTGTAATCTCAGCACCTTAGGAGGCTAAGGTGGGTGAATCATGAGGTCAGGAGTTTGAGACCAGCCTGACCAAAATGGTGAAACACCATCTCTACTAAAAATATAAAAATTAGCTGGGCATGGTGGTGGCACGTGCCTATGATCCCAGCTACTCAGGAGGCTGAGGCAGGAATCATTTGAACCCGGGAGGCAGAGGTTGCAGTGAGCTGAGATCACACCAGCGCACTCCAGCCTGGGTGACAGAGGGAGACTCTGTCTCAAAAAACAAAACAAAACAAAAAGAAAAAGAAAAAAAAAAAAGAGAGAGAGAGAGAGACTAATATATACTTGGACTCACGGGTCTGAGCTCAGGGAGTGGTCTGCACTAAACACCAGTTTATACGGGGTCTTCCGCATAATGTGGGTAGTTAAGGCCAAGAGACCAAAGAAAACAAAGATCCCAAGGAAGGAAATGCTAGAAATATGCAGAAATGTTAAGAGAATGGTGTCCTTTTTTGTTCAGTGACCTAAAATCACCAGTTCCCTAAATCCTTTATATTTTTTATGTTTTGAGACGGAGTCTTGCTCTGTTGCGCAGGCTGGAGGGCAGTGGTATGACCTCAGCTCACTGTGACCTCCACCTTCTCGCAACCTCTGTCTCCTGGATTCAAGTGGTTCTCCTGCCTCAGCCTCCCTAGTAGCTGGGATTACAGGCACAAGCCAAAGTGCCCAGCTAATTTTTTTGTATTTTTAGTAGAGACAGGGTTTCACCACATTGGCTAGGCTGATCTCGAACTCCTGGCCTCAAGTGATCCACTCGCCTTAGACATCAAAAGTGCTGGAATTACAGGCGTGAGCCACCACACCCAGCCCCTAAATCCTTTAATATCCTTCCACTGCACCATCACTGACTTGGTCAATGTCCTGCGAATTTCCCAGGTGCATTCTCCACCCTGTTCTGCGTCCCCAGGGCCTCACATGCAGGGATCTCATGAACCCTTGCCTTGTAGTTCTGATGAGATTTGCCACAAGGAGATTCTGGGCGGCCAGAGGGCAGCAAATTGTACCTGCAGCTTCTCCTTGCTGAGATGATACAGGTTGGCTGGGTCTTTGAACCAAAGGACACAGCTCTAGTCAGGTGGTGACCTGCATGCAGCTAACCTTTGAAGTTCCTAATCTATGAAATTCCTGGAAGGCTTCCTCAGCCCTGTGAGGCCTGGGGGTCACGGCAGGTCCCTACTCTGACTAGCTCCAGGGCACTGCACCATCCTTACTGCTTTTCCCAAACCCGATCTGCCACGTTGTAAATGCTCCTTTTAATAATCAACCTTCCGTCACTTACTGGGTTTGAATGTGCTGTCTGTTTTCTGGCTCACAAGGTAAGCACTGGTGTTAGGGGCACAGTATGGAGAAGGTCGGGTGAAGGAAGGATAGGAACAAAGAGGTCCCCTAGGTGCAACCTCAGAGCTTTTCCCTTCCCTCGTCAGCATCTAGGACTTAGCAGAGTCAGAAAAGATAGCTGACAACTGGAAAGGCTGGGAAGGCAGAGACACAGAGACAACATCAGATTCAGAACAGTGCTCCTTTATAAGGGAATGTTTTCTTGTCTCTCTTTTGAGGTCGAGTTTCACTGTTTTAAGCGCCTCTTTGCAGTCAGTTTTATCTATCCAGCAATTTTTTGGCCTCTGCAAACCCAGGGGTAGCCCCCTGGAGCTTCGTTTTTCAACTCTTGTAATGGACACAGGGATAGAACAGAAAAGAAGGGATCCAGGCAGCGGAAGAATTAAGAAGTAGAGCTGAGGGCAGGGGTAGGGAAACTCTAGACCTTGGAAGGGAACACACAGAAAATGCAAGCAAGTGTTTGAACGCCACACTTTCAGGGAGGACTCCCAGGAGACGAGAGCATCCATTTCAAACCACCTGAGCTCAACTGTGCCCTCCTTTCCGGAAGGCACCTCTGGTCCTGAAAGTCTTTATTGGGTTACTTGTCTGCCAAGAGAAGGATCCACATTTCCCAAGCCAGAGCACCAAGTTATGCAGTTTGCTGAAGAGATACAGCCGCTCCCAAAGGTTTCACTTTGAGGTTCAAAGACAGGCATAAAAAGAAAGAGAAAACCTCAGCACCAATTCAGAGCTGTACTCTAAGTTTACATTCTCTCTCTCCAGCAACACTGAAAG